TCAAAGCCCATGACATTCGCCAACTCAGGTGGGGAAGAATGTCATGGGCGGCTTTCCAGCCATGCCCCATGACCCCTTGGGCGCGCCCCGTGGCGTCCTAGCGAACCTCCCAATGCCTAGCACCACGGACGGCCCCGTGGTCTTGGCCGCGCCAAGTGACAAGCGCGCAGGTGCCTCTGTCGCCCCACCGATATCCCTCGCGAGCGCCAAGCCGCAGGCAGAAGCCAACAGCGCCGCGCGCGCAGACAACGCCGCGTGCGCAGACCGTGATGCCAAAGACACTGCTGCTGACAACGGACCTGCTGCTGCCTTATAGAAAACTAAGTCATTTTCATTGTAAATATAGAGTAGTTTTATTTCATGTACTTCCATTATGTTTCTCTAGCTTAGTCAAGTCTAGTCTTGTAACTTTGGATTATTTTTTTTAAGTACTATTAGGGGGGATCAAGCAATCAAAACTTTCTAGCAAGTAAGCAATTCTCTGTACTGGTGTCTCTCCCCCTCGACACCGCGTTGCTTTTCTGTAATAGCTTTCATTAATGCAATCAAGCTTTCTTTCATTCTGAATTCTCATTTCTGTTCTCTCAATTGCTCTTGACATTGGTTTTCCCGTACGGCACTGACAATCTCGTCTAGCGTACGGAGGGGACCTCAGTTGGCGGACAACAACTGCACTGACATCAGTTGCCTAGCCTTACGTCGCCCTTCCAAGGAATCTCAGAAAGGCGACGCGTAACAGTATATATGATCTTTTTCGCATTGTAAAGAGGTATTTTTGACCTTTGCATGTGCTTCTCTCATGATGAGAAGTTTGAATATTCTCTCGCTTGGTCCCATTCTCTCTCGCTTTTTTTCTTTTACTTCAGTTGAAATACATGTATATTAAGCGTTTTAATTTGGTCCATCTTAAAGCTCCATGTTGGTGTTAAGCTGTTGTTGCTTCCATACGCTTTATGATTTTGAAGGACTTATTAAATATCTAAGATAGTACTCAATTATCTCCAGAAGAATTGATGTCAAATGTTGATAGGTTGACATTTGCAATACAAAATATTTTTATATACCTTCATCATAATTAGTTAAACTTTTTGATGCAGGGTGGGGGCCGGGTAAGGATCTGAGGTGGCTGAACACAAAATAGTTGTCCTACTCTTTTCTACATAATACGAGGTCGATATGGAATTTGGTCAAGAAGATGATGTAAAGGAGAGAGTGAGTTATTTTGTCAAACTCTTTTGAAGTTGTAATCTACTTTTTTTTTTTTTGAAGTAAAAGATAATATTATATTATTAATAATAAAAGATTACAGAGTTCTTACATAGTCCCTAAGGATATTTTTATTGCTAAACTTGGCTAGTTTTTCACAAACAATAGTAACAACATACTTAGAGCTAATACTATAGCCATACTTGTCCTTTAGCAATTGAGGTTTAGCAAAACTTGGTGGACGTGCATGGTAAACACATTTTGAGAATTTAAAGTTTTTCACTGCTTCCTTCGCCAAGAGATGGACCATCACATTTCCTTCCCTGAAGTTATGCCTCAGGATTGGGTGCTTCAACTGGTGCATTAATAACCCGCATTCAAAAATTAGATTAGAGAAGTTAGGGTTATTTTCATTGAGTAATAATATAGCATCCGTTGAGCCTGTCTCTATCTCAATGTTAGGAAGACCGAAGGAACAATTTTTAATCCTTCATGCAGAGCCATTAGTTCACAATGTGTGACCGATAAAGCATAGGTTGACTTGCAGAAGCCCAAGATCCAGTCTCCATTATTGTTTTTGAAAACACCACCAAGGCCAGCTTCCTGTGTATACCTGGAGAAGGCTCCATCAATATTCAGCTTGATTGTATTTTGTGGCGGTTTGTTCCATATGATCTCAATTAAAATCCTGCTTTCTTTGAAGGGATTTTTCTCCATGAAGAAATTATATTCCCAAGCTTGTTGAAGAATGTCGGTGTGATGAACCTTGTAGTTAAGGTTATTTATGTTATTGTTATTTCTATTTTTCCAGATATTCTAAATGGCGAAGGGAAGAATGGTCCTCCAGTTATTTGAATAAAAGCTTTTTTGAATAAAAATCTCTTTTAGGCTCATTAACCAGTGGGTACCTTCTTTTAACTGGATATTTGAGATGCCCATATTTTCCTAGAAAGATTCAGTGCTGGGGCAGTACATTTTCTACGTTATTTCTGCAAATTGCGCAAACCTTGTCTATGTTCATGCCAATGTGGGATAGGAAAGCTCTGCATGGGATGTGATTATGCATGCATTTTCGCAAGAAGAATTTGATTTTGTTTGGGCACTGTAGATCCCAAATTCAGTCAAAATTTAATTTAGGAGTGGTAAAAGGATTTATGACAGTGTAGCATGATTTAGTAGAGAAGTGACCACTGGAAGTGATACCCCAGGTCATAGTATCCCTTTTAAAAAACTTATTAGGGGTAGGGGTTGCAATAATTTTTTCCATTAGGATACTAGGAGTGCCAAAATAGATACCAGTGAGGTCCCATTTATCATTTTTTATAATATCTTTGATGGAAATGTTGAGGTCTCTTTTATTAATAGGGCCACATATATTCTTTCTTAGTGAACTGGAGTTGTGGATCCAATTTGAAGACCAAATGTTCATATTTGAGTGAGAGTGTGGGTGCCATAAAATACCATCATTACAAAGATTCCATCCTTTTAGGACGAATTTTCAAATAAAGGAAGTATCGTTGATTGATTTTTTATTGGCATACTTATAGGAGATAAGTTGAGCCCAGGGGGTGTTTGTATTTTGTAACAGCCTCCAAGAAAGATTTGTAAGTAAGGCGATGTTTTTGGAAGAAGCTTTATGAATGGCGAGGCCTCCTTCCTGTTTACTTTTAGTGACAATATTCTAGTTTACTAAATGGAGTTTTCTTGAGGTGCTAGTGCTCCCCCAAATAAAATTCCTTTGTATCTTATCAATTTGTTTTAGAATTTTACCAGGTAGATAAGTGTACTGCATAGAGTAAGCATGAATATCATTTAGAGTGCTAGTTGCAAGAGTTGTTCTACCCGCCATATTTAGAAAGGAATATTTTCAGTGAGACATTTTGTAATGAAGTCTGTCAATTATGGATTGGAAGTCTCTAGGCTTCGGACTATGATTTAGAATTTGGAATCCTAGATATTTTCCAAAATCATGAGTAACCATCATTCCAAGAAGTTTGAGAAGCAGGAAGAAATATGAGGAGGACATAGATTTGGGAGGATTTTATTTTTTATTTAGTAAAATTGATGGATAAGCCTAATTGAGAGCAGAAAAATCCATACTAGATCTTATGCAATTTCTGGTTTTTTTGTTAGCCTTACCCATTAGGGTGATATCATCCGCAAATAGAACATGGAAAAGGACGGACCTTTTTGAGGGATTTTTATTGGGTCCCAATTTAAAATGTCTGTTTGATAATTTATGAGCTTTAAGAGCAATTCTATGCAAAGGATGAATATGTAGGGTGATAAGGGGTCTCCTTGGCGGATACCCTTACTTGGACTAAAAAACTCAGTAGTTGTCCCATTAACAAGGATTCCCATGGAGCTGGTACTAATGCAGTGCATAATTAATTTAGTGACTTTTGGGGAAAATTTGAAGAATCTAAGAGTTCTATAGACAAACGACCATTCTAATCTATCAAATGCTTTTTCCAGATCAATTTTTATAAGCATATCAGGGATAGATTTTTTGTTTTTTCGAAGATTATTCATGAGTTCTTGAATGATAATAGCATTGTCACTAGCTCTCCTATTTTTAATGAAGCTAGATTGGGGAGGACTGATGAGGTAGGGTAACATGGGCTTTATCCTGTTAGCAATTATTTTCGTAATGATTTTGTAAGAAGTATTACAAAAACCAATTTATCTAAAAAAATTTAGGTTGTTTGCATAAGGAAATTTTGGGATAAGACAAATAAAGGTTTCATTTATACCATTTGGCAGAGTTTGTGTGTCAAAAACCTTATGACAGTAGGATTCTATTGAATTTTTGATGATGTGCCAGTATTTTTGGTAAAAAAAGGGATGAATTCCATCCGTCCCAGGTGCTTTGAAGGGTTTGAAAGAAAAAATAGCCTTTGTAATTTCCTCATTTGTCAAGGCCATGTCAAGACTAGATAAATCAATACTATTGTGGCACGTAGGATCATCTAGGATAGCCTTTCTATGAGAGGAGGTTTTTGAGGTTGTGAAAGCATTTGTAGAGAAAGCAAGAGTATGGTTTGAAATAGATCTTGGATCAGTAATCCATTCACCATTATTGTTGGTAAAGTACATAATGGCATTACGACGCTTACGATTTGAAGCCATTACATGGTAGAACCTAGTATTTGCATCCCAATCGTTTAACCAAGAGATCCTGGAGCATAATTTTCAAAAGTCTTGCTCCATTTTCAGAATATTGTTGTATTCTAATTGTAGTTTAGATTCTATGTCTTGTAAAAAGAAACTTCTATGGTAAGAAGGGGAGGTTTGAATTCCATTTAGCCGGGCTAAAAGTATATTTTTCTTTTTAAAAATATCTCCAAATGTTTCATTCTTCTAGCTCATAACAGTGTCTTTGAAACTAACTTGAGCTTCAGTTAAACTATTGTTCGACCAACATTTTTTAACACTGTTAATGAAATTCGGATGTCTACACCAAATAGTTCAAGTCTAAATAGTTTGTTTGAGAAATTTATATTTTTTGGGCTTAATTGGACTAATAATGGGCTATGGTCGGAGTGGTTTCTGGGCAGATGTGTGACCATAGCCTTTCGGAAAAGGGATAGCCAGTCATTATTTACAAAAGTCCTATCTAATCTTTCCATAATTAAGCCCCTAGAATTTCTCCTATTATTTGTCCAAGTATACTTACATCCTTTGTAACCTAGGTCCATTAGACTACACTTGTTGATGCTATTCCAAAGATTGTTACTTCTCCTATGGTTTATTAGATTTCCACCAAATTTATCATCAGCACTAAAAATGTCATTAAAATCTTCCCTAGGAGCCAAGGCTTAGAGTTATTTGTATGAACGTTTTCAAATTCACTACAACAAAAAGGGGTTTTAGCGGTAATTATTTATCGGCAATAAAGTAATTACCGCTAATTTATTCAGGGAACGCAAATATTGCCGGCCAATAAATATTTGCTGGTCCTCTAAATCCTCTCCCGCTTAAACCTTGTAAAGCCGCTCAACTTTTCAACAAAATATTCTAAATTGGCAAAACAATATACGCTCAAACAATATACTTTTGAAATCGGCACCAAGCATCTCCACCTCCCTGTATCTCAACCGATGGCCAAAATAGTCGACACCGTCACAGTCGCTGACACCTTCACAATCACCGGTAAGTTTCTGTCTTTATCTTTATGAATCGATTGGGTAGGTTAGGGGTTGATGAAAAATTAGTGTTGGTTAGGTCTAGGGTTTCAATTATCGAAGTATACTCGCCGGCACCATCTCAATCGCTGCTAAGTTTTATTCCGAGCCAGTGCAATACTTTTTTTTTGGATTGTTGCTGCTCAAAAAATAGATTTTAAGACATCTTGTTAATTTTTTTGATTCTATGAAATTTAGTAACGAGAATAACGCATCATCCTTAAGATTTACTGGCCATTATATGGAATTTTATAGTTTCATATGTTATAGTTTAAGTCGTTGTCCTATGTTATCTACTTGATGTATAAAAAATATAGTAACAAAGTGCTTTTCTATCATTCTTTGTATTTTGTGCAATTTGTTGCTTTATTCTTCACTAATACCAATAACTGTTGTTAGGGACATGTATTAGGTAATTTTTCCCGTTCTTGATAGTCCCAGTCGTCTATTTGGTGTGTGAAGTTTTCAACTGTTTATTCACTTTGAAGTTTAAAGTACACTTTAGCACCTCTGTGCTTCTTATCTAGCTTTTAGCATTTTTGTGGTGAGAAACTGGGATTGCAATTGCTTGAACTATTAGATTCAGTTAACTCTGAGATATATATTGCTACATCCTGTTATAAGACATTTTTTTATATTTCTGTATAAGCAGTGATTCTACCTTTAAATTTAGAAATCTCCGAGCAGAAAAATGTTGCACTCTACTAAAATAATATGTTGGTTTTAACTTTATTGTTTGAAGAAAAGACTTGTACATGATCAGTTTGAACATAGCTACAACTTTTTCTCAATATCGGGGTTTCTAGAGAGTATATCTTCTATTACAAATATTTGTCTGACTTTCTCTTAATGATTTTTTTTTGATAAGGTAAATATTTAAGCATACAAGGAGGAAACTAGTCAAATGTCTAATTTTCTTTACTATTGCTTAACAAAGTTATTGAGGCGTCGCTATTGTTTAAATCTCCATCTTCTCTTTTTATGTAGGTTTTGAGATTGTTACTGGCATTTTTCTCCTTCACTTTCTTATCTTCATCGTCAAAGTATTTTTCTTACCAGGTACCCAAACACTTGAGCCTAAATCGATTTGTGATTTGTGATGTCCAGCTATGGCAGTTTGTGATTTGTAGAGATAATTTTTTTTTTTTGTGTTTGCTATATTGTGATTTGTGATTTTTGGATGCTGTTAAATTGGCGGGCAACTGATTGAATTGATTCCTTTAGTTTTCCTAATGTTATATGTTTACTTTTGATTGTTATAAGCTATTCATAGCAGACTATACTTAAAGAAAATCTTGTTAATTTAAGTGTAAAGTAATTCTATTTGAATTGTCGATTTAGGTGGATGTGAACTATTCAGTTTGTTAGCTTCTGAGATCTCTTCGTGTTAATTCTCCATTGATTCGACTGTTAATTTTTTTCCACATATATTTGTAACTTGGATTATGATCTAAAAATGTTGTTACTTCTTGTTTCGCCTTTTGCACTTCAAATTACCTAAATGTTACTTAATAGTTGATATGCTAGGAATTTTTTTTTAAAGATTTGTTACCTGTTAAGAAAAGAATGATTTTAAGTTTATTTATTTAAATATTAAATGAATACATGCTAAATGCCTCTTCTTATGCTATTTTTGATCCATTCACTTACTCTTCCTTAGTGTTACTGCATGGGATATCCTTTATCTTTTATATTACTGAAGGCAACATGTTTTACTTTCATTGAGTTGAGCCCTAGTTGTACATCACGTTAGAAATGATGAACGATTGACATTCATTCAGGGAGAAGTACATGAAGTATAATATCGTTAGACTACATATGCTGATGTAAATGCTGTTATTTATTTCTGAAAACTTGCACAAAATGAAAGTAGGAAAGTAATTTATCATGGATGTTGAGTTCGACAACACAAACATGTGACACTGTATTTCTAGAAAATACAGGACAATTCAATGACTGACATGAGAACTTTTGTGCTCTTTTTGTGAATTGTAAATATGGCTCTTCCACTGTCGTTGTGCTAATGGAATATAATTTGTTGTCTTTCACAAAAAAGAAAAAGAAACAAAGAGACCAAGTCAAAAACTTTGGAATATTACGTGCTGAAATATTTGATGATACAAATATTCAGACATAACGTGCTGCTCACGGTGTTGACATAAAACGGAAAGTTCTTTGTCTAGTTCTATTGGTTCTCTTTCCTTTAATAGTAAAATTCTTAGCACTGTAGGGTGGTTCAAACTTCAATATTTATGATTGTGGAGCTGATATTTTTCAGTAGAGCCTACTATACATAGTGAGCATACAATTATAAAACTGATACTCTATTAGTTATCTTGAAGACAAGAGATGTGGTTTCTCTTTGTTAACTGTTAAGATGTATGTTTGGGATCATGAGTTTATACTTAAAACTAATGATCAACTGCAGAAGAACAACTGCACAGTTGTACAACAACAGTAGAGGGACAACTACACAATTGTGCAACAACTGCAGAAGGACAACTATGAGTTCTGCTACAACAGTTTTATTTTTTGGGTAACATATGCTTCTCTTGGCTTTTGTATGTATAGCAACCTTGAAGATAGCTTCTTTCAACTTATTAGGACACTCTTCTATTTGTGTATTTGTATTTTTGTCGCACAGTAACGGGAAAATCTACATAAAGTTCATTGGGTCTGCATCTTCTGGTTGTGTTGCACATTGTGAAACTATAAAACTTCGGCATTAGGATCAATTGCTTACTTCCTTTCTGTGATGATTCTTGATTTCCTACAGCCTTNACTTATAGTAATATTCCTGCTTTGCTAGTCTCTTTTAGTAGCGTAATATATCTGGAGTTAGGATCCTTGATGTCAGCAGATGATTCAGATATTTTTAATTTTAGGTAATTCAGAAGCAAAAAAGGTTTTAGGCCTACTTTACTGAAAGATATTTGGAAATTTTCACCGGAGAAGACAGTTGATGTGCCGTTTAATAAATGCCTCAAAGTAGCAACGCCACCTCAGGTGAACAGGTAACTCAATTTTATAAGCTTTAAACATTTTTGTCCTAGTGTTACTGAAAATGCTCAACTTTCTCACGGTACTACTCATCTTTGTCCTTTGTCGCTATTGTTTGAGTTTTGCTCCTTCGATTTTTATTAATTTGTTATTGTATTTGGACTTACTTGGATACTTCTTACTTTTATATATTTCGAAGATTGTGATAGTAGTTTCCTGCCTGAATCACATTCACCTTTCTGTGGATTTAACACCATTAAAGTAAGGAGAATCAGATCTTTCTATGGGACTAAAAGATGGATTGAAAACCAGAAGCTTTTGTTGCACCCATCTTCTTGTTCATGACAATCATGACTTTCTAGAGACTGTTTTCTTGGTTGAGTGCTGCTTCTATCTGCTTGTTTGGTTAGCAATCACTAAAAGGTTAGGGGGTATAGAGAATACTAGCCTAACTAGGAGGGGATTGTTACCTGTAGAAGAGTGCTATCTAGTTCAACTGATGAGAATTATTCGTGTGGAATTAAAGTTGTTTGACATTGGTTTGTAGGAAATAAAACTGAAGGTTTTTTTAAAAGAGACTAATTTGGTGAAACCAAAGACGATCCATGACACTTAACAAACGTATGCTACATTTTTCTGCCATGGTTATACAAAGAATGAAGTGAGGAATTACAAAGTGTATAAGAGTGTATAAGAGTATAAGAGTGAAGGTGGACAAATGGTATCTTTTATTGGAATAAAAATTTGTATTATACAATTTGAACATAAGAGTGAAGCAGAGTTTTTCATGTCTGTCTTCTCTGGAGTGTACAATAGACCTTCTGGAATTTAAATTGCTAAATATTTCTATTTACTCTCTAAAACTGTATGTTCATATACTATGATGACATGTTTCAAGTCTAATGTTCTTGCATCATTCCAAATTCATCAAACTCATGGCTCCCAAAATATCATCACTTTATCTCGTGACCTGTTTCAAGTTTATTTTGAATCATTCCTAACATCAAACCCCTCTCACAAAGACATCATCAGTTTATCTCTTCGTTAAATTTGGTTGTTTCCTTGTGAGTGTTACTAAACATTTTCCCATGTATATGTATTATCTTGTCAACTGAGATGTTAGCTCTTTTAAGTGTGGAAACAAGCAAGTGCTAGCCTTTGCTGGCTTTCCCCTTTGGAGAAGAATAGCTGGGACTAGAGGTCTCGGTAATTTCCTTTTGTGGGGCATATATTTCGTCTTTTGACATAGTTATTTTATAATCTCAGGTCATACAGTCTAATGTCCGATAATTTAGCGGGTGGAAGATTTCAAAATGATGAAAAATTGCGAAAATTATTTGAAGACCATCATTCGTTTGGATTAGTTATATAATGACATTAGTTACTTAGTTCGAACAATATATGTTTATTTTTTATGTTACTATGACATTAATATCATTTATTAGCACTTCCTTTTGTTAAGATTTAATGAGATATATTATATATTTTTTGAATTAATATTAATATATTTTATTATTTGGATCATATTTTAGATGAATGTAGTAACTATTATTAATGGTGGCTAAATTATTGCTATTACCGCTTGTGACTTGCAGCACTAATTTAGCTGGATATACCAGCTATAAAATTGGATGAATAAAGGTAAATTAAGATGTTTTCACAAGGGATATTGCAGTCATTATAATTGTTGAAAGATAATAGCCGTTAAAGAAATTGACTTTTAGTGGAAATTTAGTTGAACATAATAGCCATTAAAATGGACGCTAAAAGGGCAAATTGAGATGTTTTTAGAAGGGATACTATAGCCATTTTAATTGCCACAAAATAATTGCCGTTAAAGATCTAAATTTTTAGCGGCAATTATTTTGAATTTAGCGGCTATATAAATGGATACTAAAGGAGTATATTAGCCGTTTTGGATTGAATTTAGTAGCCACTATAATTGCCACAAACAATTATCGTTAAAGATAAAAACTTTTAGTGGCAATTATTTTGAATTTAGCGGCTATCTAAATGAATGCTAAAGGAGTATAATTAGCCGTTTTAGATTGGATTTAGCGGCCATTATAATTGCCACAAACAATTGCCGTTAAAGATAATACTTTTTAGCGGCAATAAACCATACCTTTTACCAGCTTTCGCTAGAAAAGCCGCTAAAGGCTTTGCCGACCCCGCTTCAGCGGCTAAACACCAATGGCCGGTAAAAGATATAGCGGCTATTGTTATTGCCACTAAAGCCGTTTTGTATTGCCGCTAAAGCCCCTTTTTGTTGTAGTGATTATTCCACAGAATACATCGTTTTCCTAAGTTAGTACTAGCATATACTGAGGAAAATAACCAAATGGTATTAAAAGGAGTTACCTCAACATTGGCGTGGATCTCTTGGTTCCTCCTAACAAAATCATGAAATCTCACTATGCTGGCATGATAACCATACCCCCAGCTTGACCTTCTGCTGGGACCTCGACCATATTTGTAAAAGGGAAATCATTTAGCAAGGTGATATGATTTTCCATACGGGTTTCTAACAAAGTTACCATGCAGGGTTTGTGATTATCAACCATCTCCCTGAAGTGGATACGGAAGTTGTCATTATTACTACCATGAATATTCCAAATGATTATATTAGTAGGCCTATACATCATTGAAACATGATTGTTGGTTGAGCTATTCTCCATTCTTGTATGGAGCAGTGGGTTCCTCCTCAGGGATGGAACCAGTATCATTGCATGGCTCCCCATTGTTGGATCTTGTGGAAACCTGATATCCATTGAGAACTTTACAAGGCCGGGGGCGGCAACTGAGCACATATCTCTTCTCTTGCATCTCCCTGAAGAGATAGACCTTTACATCGTTTAGACTTGAGAATTCTATTATCTCTTCCGACCCTAGTAAGTTCATTTCGTCTACATTCTCTACTGGTGGTTCTTCGTGTTCGTGCACATTGCGATTGGCTGGTTGTGTAGGTGGGTTATTTACTGGGGAGACTGCTTGAGCTTGGTTTTGGTTAAAGTGGGGGGCTGCTGCCTGGCATGAAGATTGAGTTTAAGTACTGGATCTCCCCTGGGGGAAAGAAAGGGAGATCCAGTGCCATATTCTGTGGATGGAGGGGGGTTGAAGTGGTGAGGAAGGTTCCACTGGTTCCTCGTGGCTTGAGCTTGGTGTGCATTCAAGTTTGGGGCCAAAGGTTGAAGTATATTGTTTAGCCAAACGTGGTTGTGGTAGTTGCTCATGGCCATGTGCATTCCCTCGGAGACAAGTTGGGCTAGAAAGTGAGAATTTTGGAGGATGATCACTGTTTCCTGGCCATCCATGGCTCATCAGTGCTTGTTCTATCCATAATAGAGGTTGGTTATCTTGAGGGAGAGGTGGTTGGATGAAGAAGACTGTTTGGTTTCCCTGTTTGTTGTTCAAATTTGGAGGTGGGTCGGCCATTGTGTGAGCTCTTTGGTGCCTTAGGATTTGAACAAGTCTGAATCTCCTTCTTTGTAATAAGGGAATTCTTGGCATAGTGAGTACTTAGGGGTTGATTTATATTTTTTGGAACGACTTGCTTACTGGAAGTTGTTGAGGTTCCAGTAGAAGGATTTCCTAGGGTGTTAATGATTTGGTCTATTTGCATGTTTTCTTTGCATGCAGGAGAAGAGATTTTAAGTTGATTTGGTGTAGTAGTAGGGTTAGGCACATGGTCTTTGCTATTGGCCAAATGGTTTGAAGGTGGGGGCATGTGGGACAAGTGTTATGGGGCCTGATCTTCATCCATGCAGATGTTAGAAGCAGTATCAATGTTAATAGGAGGGTTTAGGGAATGGTTATCGGAAGATGTTTCTTTTCTTTCAAGGATACTATCATTTTTTGTAGCTTTATTATCTTCGTTCATATGATTAGTGGGCGTTATTAGGGACTGTATGTTGGGTAAATCACTGACCTCCATGTCAGACACGTTGCGATTGGGAGTATTTGGTAAAGCCACGTTATCAATGTCTAAATTTAAATTATTTTCAGAATTTAGTAAATAGTTTTCTTTTATTTTTATTTTTGTCGGCGGATTCTCCAAAGTGGAGAACTTGTTACTACAGTTTATGTAATTTCCCTGAGGAGATGAGGAATGATTACTCGAGATTTTTCTGTTACTCGTAGGTTTAGTGTTTGAGGGGATATACATAGTATTTGGGGTTGGGGCAGAAAACTTACCTGGTATTGGATGAGGTAGTTTTGATGGAATACCTGGATTTTGATTGGTTCCAGAACTCCACCCATTGGTTCTTTTCTTCTTTTGGAACTTAACCGTTTGCCATGTTTTGCCATTTACTTCACTAACATTGCTCACTTCTTTAGGGAGAGGATTTATATTATCTGAAATGGAGTTTGTTGGCAATGAAGTCTTTACATAGTGGCACTTCATTGCCACATGACCAAGTCTTCCACATTGCTTGCATAGAGTACTCTCACCCTCGTATTGGATGATTTGCTTATGGTGGCCAATGTTGATGAATGGGACTACCGGAACCTCCGGTGCTAGCTCAATGCATAGTCTGGCGTAGCGTCCCCTTAGAGTTGAAGAAGTGCACGCATCTACTTTTAATAATTTACCAATGGCATTTCTAATTTTTGCCAATATGATACCATCATAAAACTCAGTTGGTAATTGAGGTAGACGAATCCAAATGACAGTGAGGGAGCTCTTTACTTCTGTTGCCACAAAGTTTGGCTTCCATCTCTGAATAGAGAGAAAATGGCCAAATATAAACCATGGGCCAGCGTTTAGGACTTTGATCATGTGTTCTTCACATTTGAATTTAGCTATGTAGTAGTCTGCTCCCATATCAATTAGGGAAAAATTATCCATAATTTTCCAAGCTTCCTGAATTTTCTTTTGGAGGATATGATGTTGGATTTTCTTACCAATTAGTCTGATAATGAGAGAATATCGCCATGGTTGATATATACGTTCTTGGTCTTCCTCTGTCAGATGGATTCTTTGTTTATCCACGATCATTGAGTGATTGGGTATGGCATTTGTTTCTTGAACCTTTGTGGTGGTATCAATATATGCAGGGGTCTCAGCAATTTTTAGGGAATGTTGTACTCCTTCAATAAGTTTGTCTTTAAAACTTTGGATTTCTTCTTTTTGAGTGGTATTATCCTTGTCTGGTGGTTTAGGGGGATGTGGGAATTGATGTTTGGATTCATTTCAGTGTTTTGAATTGAAAAGATGAAGATTGGTTATAGGTTAAAGAGAAGGTAGAGTTTATCTCTCTAGCTTCTTCCGAACTTGTAATCTTCGTTATGGAATTCAGTACCATCCTCCATTATTATGTTCATTTCGTTTTAATATGCATAACAAAGGAATGAACAGATAATACAAAAAAAGGGAATATGAAGGGAGAGTTTTTGACCAATATTGTCCCTTATCTTTGAGGGTAGGTCTATTTTGGTTCCTCAAAATAACTCTGAGCATATTTTGTCCCTTAAGTATGCTAAAGTGGAGTATATTTAGTCTCACTAACACAATGTGTTCAAAAACTAACGGTGTTACCCAACTCTGATTCATGAAGCAAATCTTCTGCTCCGTAGTAAAACGTTTCCTCTCCTTTTACTGGATAACACAAATTATCACTTTAATTCCTCATTTTTAGATAATGTCTTCTAAAATTTTGACCTTGAAAATATCCCCTTCTGTGCCAGTTTTCGTTGAGAAAATGACACTGCATAGGCGCTGTAAAAATTATAGCCGAAAAAATATATAAAGTTCGTATATTTTTTATATGTATACATATATTAAGGGACAAATGAACCATCACGCTTTGGAGAGGGGGAAGGAGGGGAGTCCGGAACCAAAATGTTGTTCTTTTGGACTCAAATACTTTTTTAGGTGGAAAAAAGCATAGTTACCAAAATATATAAACGCCGTTATGAACCACGTTTTACCTTAACGGCCGTTTGGGACGTTAAGGTAAAGCACGATTTGTTACTGCGTTTTATATAAAACGCGTTAATGAATTGTGCTTTACCTGGAAGCTGATAAGACGGCTATATAAAGCGCGGTTCATTACTGTGTTTTATATAAAATGCAGTAATAAACTGCGCTTTACATGTTTTGTGTGCCCACTAATAACTCTTCTACGCTTAACTGACATAACAACAATACAAATATGTAAAACGCCCTTTTAAACTGCGTTTTACTTCCAAAAATTTGACCCCCCCTCCGGATTGGGCATTGCCTTATTTAAAGGCGTTAAGGGTTTTGAGAAAAATCATTCAGAAGTACTCCAACTTCGTGATAAATTTTTCTTGTTGTTAAATTCTCAAACTTTTTTCATAATGTCTAAAGAGCGAAAAGTAAGGGCTTCATTATATTGGGGGTGAGGGGTGAGGGGGGGGGGTGAGGTTGTGGTGGGGAATAACTCAGTGAGCTATAGTTTATCTCTACAGAGTCATGTTAAGTTGCCACTTACAATGGAGTACGATAGACTGGTATCGTTATGCAATAAAATGAGGTTGAGCAAACGTTCGGTGTATCTTAAAATAACTGGGAGATATCCGTAGTCTGTAAATCCTCAAGGGGTTGCTTGTTACGCTGAGTTTAACATCGAGGATGATGAAAGTTTGAGAGATTTTTTGGGGACCCCGAATGAATACTGGAAACTTATTTTGATAAAAATGTTGGAAATGTACGTGAAGGTTGAAGACGTTCGCAATAATGATGTTTCGCAAAGCACGGATAACTCTCAATCATCGGCTGGTTATTCTGGAGCAGTTTTAGCCCAACAGGTTCCGGTTGAAAGAGTTTGACTGGATCTAAACTTATCTCCACGGGCGAAGAGGAGCGAGGAATTAATTTCTCTCCTACTTTACATAATCCACAAGACGACTGGTAAACTTCAATTTTCCTTTGTGTTACGATATTTATTTTTGTTGTATTGAATTTGTATTAGCACTCATATATTCCACAGATGGTACCGTACAGATATGAATTTTACAAGTTATGACCCCACGTCCAGTTGGAATATGCTTAGTTTTGGTGTGCTAGATCACGGTGGTCCATCCGGGAGTCATCACCAACAGGATAATGTCCATCATGGAATGTCAACATATTACGACTTGTAAGTGAAGTGATATAGCTATATGCAAAGTATTTATCAATAGTAACTTATCATTTTGTTGTTTGTGCAGTTAAAACGAGCAACTTGATAGTCCTGACCTCACTCAGTTGCCCGTAGACGACGTATTTACTTGGGATTTGGCGTATGTGCAGAGTCAGGAAGATAATCATGATTATGACAACAATGCCGATGAGTCTGGAGATGACACACCCTTCCTTGATGAGGGTGATGAGGAGGAGGAAGTGAATGTCGAACCTGAGCTGACGAGGGAGCATGCTCCACCTCCCGTAAGACCAAGAGTGTATGAGTCCCTCGTGCCATTTCATTCAAGGCATATTCCCTACCTTGATAATTTGCCAAGTATACCCGATGCGGATGCCCTCACAAGGGATATTGACGAAATTCGGTCAGCAATGTGTGATGAGTCTAGACCAACGGTGTTGGTAAAGGGCATGTTTTTTCCTGATAAAGCTCGCCTAACAAGGGCTTGTAAAATGTACAGCGTAAGAGAGTATCGTGAGATGATGGTATGGGAGTCAAGTCCGGAGGTATACAAGGTTGTTTGCCGTAGATGGTTTACGGATTGTCATTGGATGCTGCGTGCGACCAAGAAGGACATAAAGTGGGTAAATATATTGGCACCCATGTTTGTGAAATGGACACATTCAATGGGAATCACTTCAACTTGGATGTTGACTTGATTTCTCTTCAACTGATTCCACACATTGAAGTGTCCATTAGGTACAAGATCAAAAAGTGTATTACATCCATTCACCAGGAATATGGGTGTACTATTACCAAAAGAAAGGCATATCTCGGGCGCAAATGTGCATTTGAAATTGTTTATGGTGACTGTGATAAGTCATTTGCATCTCTACCCAGGTACATGGCCGCACTGAAACACTTTAACCACGGGACTGTTGTTGAATGGAAGCTTGAGCAGAGTGCAGGAATACCAAAATATATATTTAGATACGTGTTCTGGGCATTTAAACCAGCAATTAATGGTTTTGTGCATTGTCGTCCGGTAATTTCCATAGACGGTACTCATGTCTATGGAAAGTATGATATTAAGCTGTTGATCACCGTTGCAGTAGATGCCAATGGACAAATATTTTCACTAGCTTTTGCCATCTATGCCAATGAAAACAAGAGACGTGGACGCTATTTTTGAACCACTTAAAGCAGCACATTATCAAACAACATTTAGGTATTTGTCTAATATCTGATCGGCATGGTGGTATATTAAGTTCTGTAGAGCATTTGCCTGAATGCAGGAACCCTATGCATACCACCGTTACTGTGTGAGGTACCTGAAGGCAAATTTCCAAAAGAAATATCCCAACAACGACTTGCATGATTTAATGTGGATGGCTGCAACTGATCACCAGCAGTGCAAATTCAGGAGGCACATGGAATCGATCCAGCAGTTAGACGAAAGTGCCTATAATTGGTTGATGCGACATGAGCTTCACAAATGGAAATTGCATGCTGATGGTGGCAGACGATGGGGAACCCTGACTACAAATGTGTCGGAGTCTTTCAACGGGTTCTTGAAGTCTGCACGTGGATTGCTTGTCACTGCCATGGTTCGGATAACATTCAAACAGATGGCGGAGAGGTTTATTGAAAGACATAGAGGTGCATCGGAATTGATGGAGAGGGGTGTTGAATTTATGCCAATACCGATAAAAAGATTTGAGAAATACAGGAGGCGAGCACACTGCATTTATTTTTACAGTATGATCACGACCGGAGTGTTTTTGAAGTTCGCACCGCTATCCATCAACACCGGGGGAATAATGTACATACCATAAATGAAGCCAGCAGGTTGTGTTCTTATGGGAAATGGTCCATCTACCACATGTCATGCTCACATACCATGAAGTGCTTTCAACATACAAGTTTAGGGCCAACCAACTATGTTGATAGGCAATACAATGTTGTTGCATACTTAAACACATATAGTGGGCAGTTGCAGCCAGTGGGTGCTGAGCATTATTGGCCATCGGAACCATTTAAAATGATGTGTAACAAGAACTATTTGCGCAAGCGACAAGTGCAAAAGAGAACGCGTATACGGAACCAAATGGATGTTGGTGATACCGTTTATGCGCGTAAATGTGGCATATGCTTGCAAACAGGACACGACCGTCGTAAATGTCCTTCAGCTGGTTTGGGTGGCGGTGGTAATCCAGCTCCTGGTGCAAGTTCATCTAATGTGCCCAAGTATCAAGGATACACGTAGTGTTTTGTTTTCGTAATGTTTTTTGTAATAAGTGTATGTACTTGTTTATGTTGCAAGATATATCAAATAAAATTATATTTCCGCAACCTTGTTACATCTTATTGATATTTAACATTTTTTAGTTGAGTAAATTAATGAATTTCTCCCCCCGTTCATGTAATCAAAAATAATATTGGATTAAAAAACGGAAATTTTTTACGTTCACTTTCGAGTTTCACTCTAAAATTATTAGAAAACTACACTGTCAGAGGAGGAAGATATTTGACAAATAAGTGAATGTATATAGCGTGGTAAAATACTACGTTTTGTGTGTTGTCTTGTCGATCTGAAAAGCTGCCCGACTGCGAAAAAGCTATTTTGTATCAGAAAAAATCTTTAACACGCCAAGCATAGCGCGGTTAAATACTACGTTTTGTGTGAATATATATAGTGCGGTTAAATATTACGTATTGTGTGTTGTCTTGTCGATCT